GTTAAGATTATCATAGGAGTTCATTTGTTGCGCCTTTGTGACAAATTTTTTGAAATAGATTATATGGAAATAAATTAAGCTTTGCAAAACAACTGGAAAAAGAGTCTAATTGGGCGTAGCCGTTCCCACCGATTTATGTGTCATAGGCATAAAAACCGAAATAAATTTGTAAAGTCGATTATAATTTGTTTTTAGGAATGAAATAGTGCACGTAGTAAATGCATGTCAGTCAATATTTAAAGAAACAGTTTCTAAAAGAGAATTCGTTGTGTTGTGTGTAGTGTCAAACAAACAAAATCCCGAAAGGCAATGGGCCGCGTGTTTACCTATTCCACCTGCCAAAATAAAATTAATTAACAATTTAAATATTTCAATATTTGTAAAGTCGAATACTATTCGTTTGAAAGGAATGATATAATGCACGTAGTAAATGCGCGTCAGTCAATATTTAAAGAAACAGTTTCGAAAAGAGAATTCGTTGTGTTGTGTGTAGTATCAAACAAACAAAATCCCGAAAGGCAATGGGCCGCGTGTTTACCTATTCCACCTGCCAAAATAAAATGAATTAACAATTTAAATATTTCAATATTTGTAAAGTCGAATACTATTCGTTTGAAAGGAATGATATAATGCACGTAGTAAATGCGCGTCAGTCAATATTTAAAGAAACAGTTTCGAAAAGAGAGTTCGTTGTGTTGTGTGTAGTATCAAACAAACAAAATCCCGAAAGGCAATGATTTACAATGTAGTTTTACCCGCATTAGTAAAACGATATGTGTTCGCTTATGAGGAAGCAGCTAAAGGACGGCTCGAAGTCTGTGTCGAAGGACTTGAAAATTAAAATGAATGTCAAATCGACTTGGTTTTGAACCCGGATCTTCCGCTTATTAGACCACCGCTCCACCACTAGCAGGCGCGGATCCAGGGGGGGGCGAGTGTGCCTTGCCCCCCCCCCCCCCGCAAAAAAAAAAAAAAAAAAAAGGAGAGAGAGAGAAGGAAAAGAAGGGAAAGAAGAGAGAAAGGGAAAAAAGAAGAGGAAGAAGAAAAGAAAAGAAGGAAGAAGGAGATCGGGGGAGGACCTGCCTCCCCCTCCCCCCCCCAATAAAAAAATAAAAGAGAATTAAGGAAAGGGAAAGAAAAAAGATAAAGAGGAGATAAAGGGAAGGACAAAATAGGAAGAAGAAAAGAAAAGAAGGGGAATATCAGTTGCAATTTTCCCGCCAACAAGTTGTGGATCGAGGGGGGGGGGGCAAAAGACCCTCCCCCACACTTTCTTTGAAAAAGAATATTAAAGAGAAATAGAAAGAAAGAGAGCGAGAAAGAAAAAATAGTTAACTGCCAGTGTCACATTATAATGGGGTATCGAAATATGCTCATCTGACCATGATTAAAATTAATGCCTAAGATCCTAAGGGCTCTGCCCCCTGGATTCCACCTAGGGCCCTAAGGCGGGCCCTTAGATGCTCATATGACGGTCATTTAATGCCTAAAACCCCTGATTTCTGGGGGCTCTGACCCCTGGACCCCACGCCAAATAGTGTCCAGCTAGTGTCACAAATAATAAGGTATCAAAAATGCTCATCTGACCATAATTAAACGCCTAAAACCCCTGAGCTTCTGGGGGCTCTGCCCCCTGGACCCAACCAAGAGCCCTTAGGCGGGCCCCTCGATACTCATCTGACCGTAATTGAGTGCCTAAAACCCTTGAGATTCCGGGGCTCCGCCCCCTGAACCCCAAGCCAATTAGTGACCTGCCATTGTAACAATTAGGTATCAAAATAATACTCATCTGACCGTAATTAAATGCCTAAACTCCTGAACTTCCGGGGCTCTGCCCCCTGGACCCCGTCTAGGGCGCTAAGGCGGACCCCTGAATGCTAATCTGACCGTAAATTAAAACCTTAAACCCCTGAGCTTCCGGGGCGGACAAGATATCAACATAATTATGTTCATCTGACAGCAGGCGCGTAGCCAGGGGGCGGTGGGGTGGTCCCCCAATAAACGCCGGCCAAAAAAGAGAGGAGTTTAAAGGAAGAGGATGTAGGAAGAAAAGGGAATAGACAAAGAACATATTTGAAATTCAGGCAAGGATTAAGAGTCGAGAACGGTACAACGAATCGTCTTCTTTCTCTAATGAATTAATGAAACGTAAAAGCTTCCGCGCTACGCGCGAGGGAGGGCAGGGGGAACTTAATTCAGACGAGGATAATTTTCGGGAACGGTACAACGAATCGTCTTCTTTCTATAATAATTTAATGAAACGTCGAAGCTTCCGCGCTTCGCGCGGAAGGGGGGGGGGGATTGATTTAGACAAGGATTAAGAGTCGAGAACGGTACGACTAATCTTCCTCTTTCTCTAATGATTTAATGAAAAGTAAAAGCTTCCACGCGGGTGGGAGAAACTAAATTGTTTCCGAGAGCGGAACAACGAATCGTCTTCATTCTCTAAAAATTTAATGAAACGTCGAAGCGGGGGGGGGGGGGGGAACTGAATTTAGACAAGGATTAAAAGTCATAACGGTACAACGAATCGTCTTATTTCGCTAATGATTAAATGAAACGTAAAAGCTGTATTCAGACGAGGATTATTTTCGAGAACGGTACAACGAATCGTCTTCTTTCTCTAATGATTTAATGAAACGTACAAGCTTCCGCGCTTCGCGCGGGAGGGAGGAGGAGAAAACTGAATTCAGATGAGGATTAAGAGTCGAGAACGGTACAACGAATCGTCTTCTTTCTCTAATGATTTAATGAAACGTAAAAGCTTATGAGCTTTGCGCGGGAGAGGGGGATGAATTAAGACAAGGATTAAGAGTAAAAAACTGTACAACGAATCGTCTTCTTTTTCTAATGATTTAATGAAACGTAAAAGCTTCCGCGCTTCGCGCGGGAGGGGAAAAGCTATTTTCAGACGAGTAGGCACGTACGGAAGGGGGGGAGGAGGTTAGGGAGTTGACCCTCCCCCCCCCCCCCTTCCGTTTTTTATGTGTGTATTTTGGAGCAACCCCCCCCCCCCCTTTTCTGTGTTTTTTTTTTTTTTTTTAATTAAAAAAAAAATTTAAAAAAATATGCCAATGGCTGACCTAAAAAAGGTGACCTCACCCCCTCCCCCAACGGAACAAAATGTCAAATTTTCAAATTTCGAGACCAAAAAAAAATAGTGTCCTCTTCCCCCCCCCCCCCCCCCCCCGCTTATTTAGCGGCTGGCTTAGTCGTTACGATTTTTTTTCGGACCAAAAAAAAAAAGTGGGCCCCCCCCCCCCCCCCCCCCCCCACCTAAGAAATCCTGGATCCGCGCCTGGACCACTAGGTCGTCGCACCTTTACAACAGAAGAAATGAAAGAAAGAGGAAAAGGGAAGAAGGGAAAGAAAGAGGGAAAAGAAAGAGAGAAAAGAAAGAGAGAAAGGAAAGAGAGAAACTACAGGTGGCAGATTCGTAAAACTGGCTCTGGCGAACAGGGAATGATGATGTTTTAATCCATTAATAAATTCCTCAATTTTATTAAAATATAATTGTTTAGAAGTTTATTTGTTCAATTTGAAGCCAGAGCACCCCATGTCTAGTGATTTAGCCGCTCCCAAGCGCCTGCTACTTACAAAGTCGATCACACATATCATGTTTAATGATTTCCGTTTGTTCTTAGATTTCCTTGAATGTTTTTTAATATTTGCGTCACACTATATTTGTTGATGAAATATTTTTTTTTCACAGTCATATTTTGTTGCTTGGCTCAAAACAGCTCTAATATATGGCCAGAAATTGCGAGAGTAACTCGACTTATCAAACGCTGTTGCATAGTATTTGGCGTATAAAGAAAGAAACTATCAATTATAAAAGTCCGAAGATTTGCAAGAAACCCATAAGCTCTACATTACTAATTTTTCGTACAAATATTCCACGAACAGAAATATTAATAAAAACTGGTGACTTTTCAACTATTCCCATAGCTCCTATCCATATATGTCCGTTTCGAATCTTATTTCTGTGCTAGTTTTCTATCTTCTTATGCCAATCATGATCACACCGAAATCGTTGAATCTATTTCACAATGCATCCCCCCCCCCCATCTTTTAAATCGTATCCGAATGCATTTATTTCAAGTCGTTTATTTAATTCTGAATCACAGATGCCGGTCTTACATCTTCTCTCCGTATAGCCCTTTCTCTTCCCCGTCTTTCTTCTCTATTTGTTTTCTCCTCACTGATCAACACGTTGATTTTTTTTACTGCAAACTTCCTCTCTCACGAGTACGTTATCACGTTTTATGTTTACCCACCTTCGAGCTTTAAAGGCCATCTTTACTAATTTGGCTAGGAGGAATTAGACCACCCAGGAAGGTCACTGACAGGTGGCTCTCTCTCTCTCATCAACTCAGCTCTCAATTAAAATACGAAAAAGAGGATCATGGGGGACCAATGGTCATCGATTAGGCATTGTTCTATATATATAGAGGGAGCAAGTAGCCACAAGTAGTACAGTGGGCCGTTGATGTTTTTCCACATGAAATGATTACCTCACGATACATAACATCGCATGATTCAAAGGAGAATAGAAACGCTTTTTATATAAAATAAAAACATGCAAACTTAGTTGATTGGATACGCTGAAATGTTTTATTCAAAATTTTGCAAAATTACAGTTAAATATAAATTTGTAGATTTCAATCACATTTATATAACGCTACATGGAAGAACAAGTCGTAACAAATAATTTAAGTGCATTTTAGCGTTTTATAAAGAGAACAGTAACCCACTATGAACATGACAGACAATGAAAGCGGACAAAATATACAGTTCCTCAGGTAGACAAAGGAACACCCCTTCACTGCTATTATGTAAAAATGTGTAGAACAGGTGAATATGCATGTGACACCTGTTCTACACATTTTTACATAATAGCAGTAAAGGGATGTCCCTTTGTTTACCTGAGGAACTGTATATTTTGTTCGCTTTCATTGTCTGTCATGTTCATAGTGACCGTCATTTAAACAGGGTGGATCAAATTCGCAGATGATGGTATTATTTCTTTTATAATCGAAAACGCTCCCCTCTATTAATATAACTGGAACAAAACAAAAAGACATTAATTTTGTAAGATCTTGTCTAAATTTTTGATATTTATTTCTTATTCATACACTGTTGCCCCAAAAATTCAAATTTATTTTCCTGATTTTGTGTTTCTTTTCTCTTCTCATTAAATGACTGTGAGCATTTGGTTTATAATCTTGATAAATAAAGGTTATACAGTTTACTGTGTACGACATAGAAATGAAAGAAATGAAGTGTACCAACTTACAAGAAACGATTACATTACTAACGAAAGGTATCTAGTAAAAAAAGAACATCCCAGAAATCACAAAATACACATTCTTACACCAAGATTACAAAGCAAAGCTTAATACAATAATTCAGAACAATACATTATGAAGCACCCGTAAATAAGTGTAGATATCAGAAACGATACTGTTCTAGAAATAGCAGCTATTTACAGTTTGAACTGTTAAGGAACTTTTAGATAATGCTAGAACATACCTCTAAGAAAAAAACTGTGAAAATATTGTGTACATCATATTGCGTTGTATTTGTTAATTTCCTACGGATGTGACGTATGTTCCTCATAACGAAAGTGCCAGCAGTATACATTCTGACGATAGGCTATTTTCGTAATGTAACCAAATGTAGTGCATACGTCTTTGAGAAGTGCCTCGATACAAACTATTTCACTCACCTGATAAGAATAATAGTAATCCAATAGACAATAGAATCCGATTAGTCGTTGCCGGGTTGGACAAACAGTATGGCTTGCCCTACCAAGCAACATTTAATATATGCAGTTTGCAATGTGACTGTTCAAATACTGTTATTCTTATCAGGTGAATGAAACAGTTTGTATCGAGTCACTTCACACATATTTATGCATTCCATTTGGTTACATTACGAATCTGTGTTGTAAGGACCCTTCGTCACCAAAAAATGTCTCGCAATACAGGTCCGGCTCGATCATTAACTCTTTTTTGTGCTCATTAATCAAAATTATTAAAAATAAGTCTGAGCACCATTTTTCAAAACCAAGTTATATTTGGGCTTTTTAGATTTTTGTCTATCTAATCAGCTCTACCTTTCAGCGGGGTAGACTTTTTGAAGAATTTTGAAGAAAGCTTGGACCCATTCTCACTTTACCGTTTCATAGCGAGATAAGACACGAGTAGAGACGCAATCAGGGCTCCAAGACTAAGCGTTGTTGTGTGGGCCCTGTTGCAGAGATTGCCCGAGCACACGCAGGCAGCCCCGCTCCCGGAGACGAACTGAATGGTAGAAGGGAGCATGGCATTGATCGCGTCTCGTTGTGCGTTGACGGCTGCTCTGCTGGCGGTCTCGCATTGGTCCTCAGCTGCTCCGCAGGTCCGTAAGACCATTTCGGTGGCGACATTACCCTCTGCAATACAAAATGGGGCATGTATGTAGATTATTGCTTTGGTGTTCTTATTCATATTCCATGCCAAACATTTATTACATTCATTTAGGTAACGTGGACTTAAAGGGATAGATGAGTTTTGTTGCAGAGGACGCTACACACAAAACAAAATTGGCGAGATAATGAATAACTGAGTTTAAAGTTTGAAAGAACATACGATTTAAATGACATCATCTTTGTTTGATCAAAATCGGTTCAGAGACGACTTGAATATCCAAAAATATAACAATTTCTAAAATTATATTTGTGGTGCCCCACAAATATTCGATATTTTTAACCGGCCGTTAAAAGAACGAAATAGCGCCGTATACGTTTTATTTCAGCCAATGCCGATGTTGTCATTTTGTTGGCTTTTTGATGCCGGTTATGATATGCAAATCCAGCCGGCTCGTGTATTGTTATTATTAATCAATTAATGTATTAACGGCCACCGTAGTTTGTTGAAAGTTGAGCTGATTTGGTATGATGGTATTAGCTGAATGTCACACATGTTTGGGTCTAAAATTACATTTATAGCAATTGTAGGTCCTAAAGTAGCACTATAAATGGCATAAATAACAATAAGAGCAATAGCAATGCACTTTGAAGGCATTTGCGGTTTAAAACAACTATCCCTTTAAATGTCCTAAATCATAGAAATTAATGCCACGACAACATATTCTGTAAAATTTCAATACGGAAATGAATGCGAACTGGATACAACATTTGTTGCCAGGAAGGACGTATATTATTCCTTGTCCTACTCAACAACATGTAATATATACATTTTGCACTCTGACTATTAAAATACCACTATTCATTGTACTACTAGGTCGAGCGTGCTCGCAATGAATTCACAAGCTTTTTCCATGCAGTTCTATTCTCCATGATCTTTGGTAGATCCTGCCTTGGTAGACAGGGTAGCGTTTCTCGAAACCGTCATAAATACAAGTTCACCGACATCCCATTGAAACGCGTGTATTAAGTTTAACACGCGTTTCAATGGGATGTCGGTGAACTTGTAGTTATGACGGTTTCGAGAAACGCTGCCCTGGTGTCTTTTTCTAGCTGGTCAATGTAAGCCATTGATGGGCGACCTCTGGTGCGTTTGCCCCTTGAGGGCTCCCAGAACAACATTTGTGAAATGATTTCACTCTTGAAATGATTATTCATTGTAGGTGTATAAGGGCACTTCATAAATACTTATACATTAGGGACTTTTAGATTCTGCACGACGAGAACGTGGACTGTCATTTTAAGGCAATATGACGTCACTGCAAGTGCCTTAAAAGGACGTCACATTGCCATAAAAGGGTAGTCCTCGTTCTCGAATCTAAAATTCCCTGTTGCTTATGTACTTACGGCCCTCAATGTCGTACACAAAGTTGTAGTTTGCTTTCAAGCAACCTCCCTGTAGGCTGCAATCCATGGTACTTTGTTCGTAATTCTCGTCACAAGGCGCAATCCCTGCATCCAAGCTTGGGAAGGCGCTCATGTCACCGTCCGATGTGATGGAGAGACAGCTGTAACATTGCTGAGCATGAACTGTGAGAAGTGTAAAAGGTAGATTAATATTTCATTTGAAGTTAGATGAGTGGCCTTTTTTTTATTAACCCGTGCACCTTTGTTCCTTTATCATAAGTGCCCCTTTTCCGTGTAATAAATAACCATTTTCCTTTATAAAAAAAACACCTCTTCCCCTTCTCATAAATGCCCGTTTTTACACTGCCGATGTGTTATGAAGAAGAAGAAATATAAGGGGAAATTCATCAAAGGGAAAAGGGCGATTATTAAAAACGAAAGTGTTAACTAGTGCTCCTTTTAACTTGCAAAAACGCCCCTTTTCACCTTTGATAATAACTCTCCTTTTCTTTTCTAATAATCGTCCTTTTCCCTTTGATGAATTTTCCCTATTCTCTTCTTTATAACATGTTCCCCCAACTAAAAGCGACAAAGAGCATATTTGTCTCGAAATACCTCCCCAAAAGCTCGCTCGCATTTAGTTCATCATGAGATGGTTTATACAACCCGTTCAGGATTGATTTTCTTCCTCTTTATATGATCTAATTGGTCACAATGCGTCGTCACAAATATTTAAGATTTTTGTTCGTAAATTTATACACAGACAATCACACCCAACTGCAAAGTACGCTGTATCTCTGGACCATGTACAGAGAGAAATGATAACAGATTGAACTGAATCATGACAATTTTTTGATCGCATTTGCTCATCATTTATACGTACAAAATAGCTCTGGCGTCCCAAAGACGTAAACAAATGCAAACGATTCGTATGCACTGCGTCTAGACATTAACTAAGAAAATGCCACCCCATACAACTGTATGAACTGCCCCTGCCCCTGTTAAAATAATAAGTTGTCCGGGGATCGAGTTTTTCTTTTGTTAAACGAGATTTTAGACCAATTAATGGTGAGTCAAGGGTTAAAAATGAATAAGTATAATACAGGCATATGTGTTGGGTTCATAATACTAATTTATAACTTACCTATTCCAAAAGACAGCACCGCAACAAGGAGGAGAATTCGGGCATTCATCGTGGTCATTCAATAGTCCTATCTGCAGATATGAGTCGCAAGTAGCAGGGAAGCTTCCTTGATTCGAGTTTCAACTAGAAGTGATCGTTTTCTACGTATGGATTGTGCATATTCATACTTTCACTTGTCTCCCCCCCCCCCCTCCCTCCCGTCCATCAATCTTAGCAGTAGCAAATCACCGACTGGATACCGGGTGACGTAGTTGCGTATAGTAGCCAATCACCAGCATTGTTCTGTGTCACGTGACCAAGGCGTGTCATTTTGGTGTTTTAGTCGTGAGAAGCAAAGTGAAATTCGATTTAATTGTTGGTGCTCAGTCACGTAATTCATATAATCATGTTTCGACTTCATGTAGCTAAAATATGACTTAAAAGCTATTATTGGGGTAAAAACAAAAATAAATTCATTGTCAAATTGAATATTAAATACAAATATTTTGCGTAATCCCTCAACAAATCGTGATGCGATAAGCATTAAGGTCATATTATCGGAGATGTGGGATGGGGGCTAAATCGTTATTCCGGTATATTGAACTGATAAAATCAATTAGATCGCTTCAGATCAATTAATAGGAAATCAAGAATTCCGACTGTTTGATTGTTATGAATCAAATTGGACTATCGTCATTAAAACAAAAAGGTCTGATTTATTTTTTGAACCAGGGCCTTGTTTCGTTAAACTTAGTATCATTAACAAGTTACTGACACTGTTTATAAGCTATTGAAATCGTGGTATTGATTGGCCGGAAGCAAATTTTTCATATAAATTCGTGGAACTTTTTAATAATGTTTCTTCAATAGTTTCCCTTGAATTTCGCATCGCACCGAACTTGATTGGGTTTTGAACACAATCTCATCAATGTTTAATAGCAGTGACAACATCGCTTGATTTCATAATAACATATCGCTAAACTCTGTGTGGGAGCGAGCATGGTGATTGGCCTTTGGGGACATTTCTAGAATTGATATCGCCCTCGTTTGCTCTAGATTAAGGGCACATGCGAGCGATCAGAATGGAAACATATTTTGACTTTGGGGAGGAAAATGGTCGCAAAATGTGTTGTCATAAAATATTTGTAAGAATGCCCCTTCTCATAAGCGAAAAGGGTACAAGAAACTGGTAAACAATTTATGATTTGCTAAGTGTAAGTGTCGGCTTGCATGGTGATGTAGATATACAGCAGGTTTGCGGGTGCACCATGTGTGTGTGAGAGAGAGAGAGAGAGAGAGAGAGGTTTGAGGAGTCCTGAAAAGGACTCTGACTCGGTAATCTTTCTTGGGGGAGTGTAGTCCTGAAAATGACTGTTTGTTATCTTTCTTAGCATATAGTTCTAAGGAGAACTATAGCGCTTGGAGAGGATGAGTGACTCGACGTTTCGAACAGGTTGACTATCCGTCGTCAGGAGTGAGACAGATTACCGAGTCAGAGTCCTTTTCAGGACTCCTCAAACCTCTCTCTCTCTCTCTCACACATGATGCACCCGCAAACCTACTGTAAATTTATAATTTGTTGTCGTAAATAACCATTAATTTTAGGTATTTTAAATGTATCTTTTTTTGAATTAGTGTAAGAATGGAAATTTCAATAACCTATTGAATGTCGCAAATAGATTGAGTTTGTATTTTGTAATGCGTCATTAATTTGTTCGAACAGGTCAAGAGGTGGTGGACAGGCTATTTGAAATCTAAAAAACTTCGAGAGCCTTTGTGATCGTGTTCAAAATAAATCTGCACATGGGCATACACTAGACGTGATATTATTTTAAGATTATGTACACGACTGTAATAAAGTCAATTCCTGTTTTGCTCGCCAATGGCATAGTGCCCCCATTTTATTCGAAACATACACACACAAACACATGGTAGGCATTGTTTACATGTATATATTCTTTTAAGAAGATTAAACCGACTAGAATCATGTCAATTTCTGTTTTGCTTGCCAATGGTTTAGCGCCCCCATTTGTTCGTATCTAAAAAACACACACACACACACACACACACGCACGCACACACACACACACACACACACACATGGTAGGCATTATATATATGTTCATATTCTTTTAAGAAGATTTACACGACTGTAATATAGTCAACTCCTGTTTTGCTCGCCAATGGTTTAGCGCCCCCATTTGTTCGTATCTGAACATACACACACACACACACACACGCACACACACACACACACACACACGCATGGTAGGCATTATTTATAAATATATATATATATATATATGTTCATATTCTTTTAAGAAGATTTACACGACTGTAATATAGTCAACTCCTGTTTTGCTCGCCAATGGTGTAGCGCCCTCATTTGTTCGTAAAAGACACACACACGCATGATAGGCATTAATTAATCAGTTGTAGAGGTACGTTTTAAAAAACTCTAACCCTAAACCTAACCCTACCTAACCTGACGCACACGGTATTATATGCACATGGATGCGAAATAGGTAAATCAAATTGTGAATATTCTAAGAGACCTGCCTCGGTCTACAACTTGTTAAATAACACTTACCACATATGCACTCTCGCACACCAACATAACACGACTCATGTCTGTCAATAGATGAGAACAATCAGGGGAAACCCCATTAGGTCATACATATGTCGTGATGTTGGAGCAATCTTAAAGCCACACTGTCCTACTGGTAGCTACCTGCTCAATCTATATATAAAACAATGCCTAATCGGTGACCATTGGTCCCCCATGATCCTCTTTTTCTTATGTTAATTGAGAGCTCAGTTGATGAGATAACCACCTGTCCAGTGACCTTGCAGGGTGGTGTAATCCCTCCAATAAACTAGTAGTACAGATAAGCTTTAAGAGTCATAGATATGCATCCAGAACCTTCCGAGAAGATCTGAACTATATGTATATACATCAAGAACAAACCATTCTCTCACAATCATTTCGATACAAGAGGGGGGAAAATTCACACTTCTTGCTTCCAATTGAACATAACAAACTTAGTATACTTCTTGCTGTTTTTTCTTCTATCTTTCTTGGAAGAAGGCCCTAAAGATAAAAAAAAAAGTTGAACTGCGCCCTGGATAAATTGAACTAAATTTATAAACAATAGTAACAATGTTAATTAAACCACATGCAACCTCTCTTAAAGCGTTAGGAACTTCTTACTTTTACCAATTTTTGTATAAATTATTTACTTTTTGGGGTAAATGGTTAATGCCCGATAGAAGATGTACAGTACGCGTGCGCCAACATGAAGTACCCGTGATACGACATGAGCACTGAGATAAGAGGCTGCACAGTGGAATTGAGTGCTGTGGCTAAAATTTAGGATTTAAACATAAATTGTAAACGTGGGGATAGAAAATCAAATTTAACCTTAGAAAACAACATGTAGAAGCCATATTTTGTATCAATATAAAGCTTAGACCTTAGAAAGTGAAAGTATTTCATTTTAAAGCGCACATTGGCTGTAGTGTAAACATATATTAACTATATTAAATAAGTCAAAATTTTTATCTTGTTTTTTTATTATAAGTTTTATTACAAAATCAATCAAGAATGTTAGTTAGCTCACGAATTAAAAATCAGTGATGGAGTTAATAAAACTGCCAGAAGCAACAACACATAATAAACCAACAAGTAGAGGTGTTGTGGTCGAGTGGATACGTCGCCGGACTGTCGATCACAAGGTCCGCGGTTCGAGTCCCGCCGCCGCACTAATGTCCTTTGGCAAGACATTGATCTACATTTACCACACTCTACCCAGGTGAAGTAAATCGGTACCTGGTAGGAATGTATTCCTTGAAATGCTAGAGCGCCGTACGGCAGCCTTGCTAAAGCCAGGGTAACAATCGGGAGCGCCAGGAGGGTCAAATCTGACTAACATGAGCGAGATACAAGAACACACTAGTATTATTATTAAGATAAACATTTATGAGAGCGTACATTTGTGACTACCTAATAATATGAGAAACAATAAAAGACTACAGCACATCGAGAATAGGCACAGCATACAACTGACACAGCATACAATGGGGACAAGACAAAAGGGTAAAGGAATGAAATAGTGACACAGTTAAACACAAATATCAAGAAGGAGAAATGTTACATCTATAGTAATACATAATAGATCGAGGCACCAGAATGACTACTAAAATGAACTATTCTATGAATCACAGTACTTATTGTGCTGTCAGTTAGAGGCCCATGGCATTGATTCTGAAACTAAACGGTGGTAAGAGGTAAGTTAGAATTACTCTCGAAGCCACTATATAGGGACTCATTTCTAAGGATGTTACAATTGTGAAATTTTCTAAAGAAACCTATTAGCTTGATGCGAAAGAGTGCCAAGTTCTTCACACACAAACAGCGCCTGTCTATGTCAAAAGGGTGTACGTGCATAGCCATTTGCATAGTTCAAGATGAGTCCTGATTGGCTGTATGCAAACGAGTTCATACTGGGGTCCGAAACTCTCGTCGCCCCAAAAATACGCTTTTCCGGCGGCGACTATCGACTCAAGCATTCATGCTCTAGATAGTTGGCCTAAGCATTTATCTTGATTCTTTGACTTACCTCTATGCTTTCAATATTTTAATTATATATGAATATGCTTTTTTTGTGGTTCAGTTGTCACTCTTTATTAATAAATGTAGAAACATCTGCTTTAAAAAAAATCGCATGACCAACATTCATTGTTTCAGCCCAGACTTGGTACAAAAGGATTTTGACGATACTTTTACGAAAAACCTGCTGCTAAGTTACACAGAGACTACCAGGTTCCAGTAGTCTCTGTGTTAAAGTCTATGGGAATTAGATAATTCTGTAGTCAACGGGTTAAGCGTGGCAGCAAAGTTCTGCTTGACAGAGTATCAATTACCCTCCATCGTGAAATATAATTCAAGGTCGGAACTCTTTGAACAAACAGAATATTATTATGTTGCCTTAACATCAGGCGTCATTTTCGCGCGCAATCCAATTGTATGTTTAGCCGGCCTGTGTCTACTGGTTCCGTTTTGTTTCCCCCGCCAAATTTACTAATCATTTTCCTCGTTTAATTTTCTGTTCCCATCTTTTCATAATGTCAGT